AGAAAAGCATTGGAAGATTTTAACTCAATGTCCCAAATTGAATAAGATTGTAGGTGAACGCCCTCAAATGGTAGCTAGAAGAGCACCAAATCTTGGTGATCTCCTTATTCATTCTGACTATCAACCGTTTTAAAACAAACAACATGGTTTAAAATCACGTACTAAGGGGATGTTTAAATGTGGAAAATGTCAAATTTGTAAATATGTGGACCGCACGGATTCCTTTTATGACTCAGGGAAATAACACTCACTATAAAATTCAAAGTCTTATAAATTGCTCCACAGTGAGAGTGCTATATATTTTGACCTGTCCATGTAAAAAGATGTATATTGGTAAGACCAAAAGACAACTTAAAGTACGAATAGGTGAACATCTTAGAGATATCAGATCAAATGATCCTGAAAGAAATCTTGCTCAACATTATGCTAAATATCATGGTGGTAAATTGGATGGCACAAAAGTGAAAGGTTTCTATGCATTGCACTTTCCTCAAAGGAGAGGTGATTTTGACAGAGAACTGCTAAAAAAGGAGAAATATTGGATATATAAACTTGATACAATGTACCCAAAGGGGTTAAATGTGGAATGTGATCTCCAAGTATTTTTGGATAAATAGATTTACATAGTTATGTATCCTTATGTTGCCATGCGTCAGTTGATCTATGGCATTTTTCTGTCTTCACTAATGGGTGAATTATATGTCAAAGAATGAAGGCAAACCTTTTGGCATCTGGGAAATATTGATGATCTGATGGTTTAAACCTGAATATAGGTCTAAAAATGTAAAAGGACCGACTGTTGAGCTAACTATGCCCTTCCCCCTTAGTAATAATGATACCATTTAAATGGGTATTTGAAGTCTAGGTATCTTTGGCAATATAATTCACAGTGAGATTTGTTAATTAACATTGCCATCTTGTGGTGGCTTTGTGGTAATTCATACTGAACTTTTAGGAACTGTTGATTTAATGAATAGGCCTGGTGATTCCTTCACTAAACATCGCCATCTCTTGGTGAAAGTATGGTAAATTTTCTAATTGATTAGTATATACATTTATGGTTTTTTTGATTTGTGTTTGCAGTGTTTGAAATTGTCAAGCCTTTCCTCTCTCTGATATTTCCAGTCGCTTGTTCTTTTAATTGAATTTAATAATGACCAGTAGCTGTGCTAAGTATTTAGCCCCCTTTTTTTTTTCTTCCAATGGGAATAACTGCAAGTTAATTTTTGCATAAATGGGTGGGTCTTAACCCACTATAAATAGAAAATTGGAATGCAGGAATCTCATTGGTCCTGACGAAGCTGAGTGAGATACGCCCATCGGCGAAACGCGTTGACGTCATACGTCAGATACGTCACTTCCGGTCATGCGCACTAGGTGGAACGCATGCTGACCTACAAGGAGGAAGCCATCTTCACATGCCACGAGGCAGGCTTAAGCAGCACAGGCGCCGAGAAGAGGCTGGAACCCGCGGTATATCGGCTGATGTCAGCGGTTGTTCCCTGGCCTCTCTGGCCTTGTAAGGCAGTACCTATGAAGGACATCTTTTCCTCTCCCATTATCCATTGCGCAGGTGGTGAGTGGACTGTTACAGGACACTAGTTATATGGTCCTCTGTGATCGATATAACCTTTACATCCATATAGAGTAAAAGCTCTTCCAGTGACTTTCCACATATTGTTTGTTTCACTACAGGATGGGGACATCATGGTGCTTTTCATAGGAAACAAGATATACCACGTGCATCTCAACAGGCAGAAGATTTATTGGGATTTGTCTTGTTTTCCTTACAGATAGTGGTGTGTAGTCCACATACAGTGGTGAAGAAACCATTTCAAGCAATGCTCTGCTATTTGCATCTATCCTTCCATCCTGGTAACTAATGGGGCTTATTCACATTTAAGAGCTCTAAGGAAATAGTCGCTTATATTACAGATGAATGGGCCCCAACCACATGTGCCGGCATAGGAGTGTACTGCATTTTATATATGACATTCATTTTTTGTCTCTTACAAGCCTAGAGGCATGTTTCTCTTTTTGACGCATACTGTGCTTGCTGCACTGCATACATGTGATAATTTATATCTATAGTATAATGTTTTGACACTCCCAGCTTGGGATATAACCATTTTGGTAGTAGCATATGTCTACATATTTACAACATGTTATATGGTATACCTATGGTATAATTTTTGCATACACCTCCTGTGGGAAGTGTTCACCTGTGAGCCAGTGCTACAAAGACTTTAGGCTCTAGTAGTCACTGTCTTTGTTGCACAAGCATTTAGACCGGTCTTGGTGTCATTTTATATGGTTTTAGGTCTATGTGTATTGTCTCATACTGAGGTGATGGTAAACCAGGGCGATTGCCCAAATGTCAAACTTGTATATGTAATAAAGCATAATTTTTGGAAATTTTTCTGATTGTCACACTCTGTTCATAATGTAGCCACTTTCTCTGTGAATTTCTTTTCACAACCCCCCTTTTTTGTGCATGTCTTTTTTGGCTACTGAATGGAGGCCATCTACTGGGTGATATGGTAACTTATTATACAACCTCTTAATAACTATCTTTAATTAATGGGTCATACTCAACCCTGACAGTCTACTGATATATTTTGCTTTGGCAGTAGGAATATTTATGTTTGGTTTTCCTATCATTGTTTTATAGATATGCATACTCTCCCTTTCACTGTATATTAACCAGTTCTACGCCGCCCTATAGCAGAAATACTGCTACAGGGCGGTACGGGTGCGCAAAATCACGTAATATATATATATGTGTGATTTTGCAGTTCCAGGTAGGGGGTGCGCACACCCTACCTGTGTTGTCATTCGTGGCCTCGGCTGTCAATCACCAGGTCCTGGCCGGTGATTACTCACCGGCACCCGGTGATCACCGAGTATCTCCAACGGGGGAGAGACCTGTATGTAAACAATACAGATCTCTCCCCTGTCAGCTCCTGCACACTGCTTTGCCATACAAAGCCGTGTGCTTACAGTGAAGAACACACACACAGCCCATATAGTGATACAGCACATAGTTAACACTTTGATCGCCCCACATGTTAACCCCTTCCTGCCCAGTGTCATTAGTACAGTGTCAGTGCTTTTTATTGGCAATGATCACTGTATTGGTGTCACTGGGGATGTCAGTGACACAAAGTCAGTTCCTCCCAGTGTCAGAATACCCGCCGCAGTCCCGCTATAAGTCGCTGATCGCCGCTATTACTAGTAAAAAAAAAAAGAAAAATTCCAGTATATATACCGCCATTTGCAAACGCTATAACTTTCACGGAAACCAATTAATTTACACATATTGTGATTTTTTTTTTTTAGCAAGGACATGTAGCAGAATACATTTTGGCCTAAATTTATGACAAAATTTGTTTTTTAACATTTGTTTACTGGACATGTTTACTAGCAAAAAGTCGTAAATTTCATTTGGGTGCAGCGTTGTATGACCGCGCAATTGTCAGTTAAAGTAATGCAGCGCCGTAACGCAAAAAATGGCCTGGTCTGGAAATGGCCTCCGGAAGGCAAGTGGATAATCATTCTTAAACATTGTATATGAGTGGGGTTTCTTTTATTTCCATGTTGGCACCTCCATCTTGTCATTGGTGAGGATATAGAAATGATGGAGGACACAAATATCCACCAATAGGACACCAGTTACTGGACAAGTATCCAGCCTGAGCAACCTGACAAAATTTTGGTTGGTACCAGAACAGAAATGTTGTCCAGATCTATCTCAGTCACCCAATGATGTCATGTAGTGCTGTGTGTCCTTCAGCATGTTTCTCCACCCTGCTTCCGCCTGCCAGACTACAGAGACTTCCCCTACAGGTACACCATAGCAACTAATGTAATGGACATTGTTATTGGACAACTGATCCATGGGGCACTATGAAGGTGGCCACTCATCTATATATGTACTCTGATGGAGGCAACTAATCTATGGGGCACTGTGATGGGGGCAACTGATCTATGAGGGCATTCTGGTGGGGGCAACTAATCCATGGGGGCACTGTACTGGGGTAACTTATCTATGGGGGCACTCTGATGGTACAACTGATCTATGGGGCAATGTGATGGGAGCAACTGATCTATGGGGGTGCTCTAATGGGGCAACTGATCTATGGGGGTGATCTAATGGGGCAACTGATCTATGGGGTGATTTGTTTGGGGTTTGATATTAAGTAGTTCTCTTTTCTTTTACTTGAAATGTGGACGTGCTCAACTTACTTTTATGTTTTAATAGAAAGCTATTTATTTGTCTTACATCTTGTTTCTGTTAACCACTTGCCCTCCAGAGGATTTACCCCCCTTCCTGACCAGGCCTTTTTTGCGATATGGCGCTTTGTACTTTAACTGACATTTGCGCAGTCATGCATTGTTGCACCCAAATGAAATTTACGTTCTTTTGTCCCACAAATAGAGCTTTCTTTCTGTGGTATTTGATTGCCTGTGCGTTTAAAATTTTTTGTGTTGTAAACAAAAGACCGATAATTTTGAGAAAAAAACAATATGTTTGACTTTATGCTATTAAACATGTCCAGTAAAAAAATTTTAAAAATCTAATTTCATCATAATTTAGGCCAAAATGTATTCTGCTACGTCTTTCTAAAAAAAAAAAATCCAATATGTGTAAATTAATTGGTTTACATGAAAGTTGTAGAGTTTACAAATGGCGGTATAATTACACTGGAAACATTTTTTAATTTTTTTTTTTACTAGTAATGGCAGCGATCAGCGACTTATAGCGGGACTGCGGCAGGCATTCTGACACTGGGGTGGAATTGACTTGGTGTCACTGACATCCCCAGTGACACCAATACAGTGCTCAGTGCTAATAAAAAGTACTGACACTGTACTAATAGCACTGGGCAGGTAGGAGTTAACATGTGGGACGATCAAAGTGTTAATTGTGTGCTGTTTCACTGTGTGCTGTGTGTGCTTTACACTGTAAGCACACTGCTTTGTATGGCTCTGCTATGCATACATAGCCATACAAAGCAGTGTGCAGGAGCTGACAGGGGAGAGATCTGTGTTGTTTATACACAGGTCTGTCCTTCGTTGGCGATACTTCGCGATCACTGGGTGCCAGTGGGGAATTACCGGTCGGGACGTATGCACTCCCTAACTGGAATTGCAAAATCACGTATATAGACATGATTTTGCGCACCCGTGCCGCCCTGTAGCAGTATTTCTGTTATAGGGTGAAGCAGTTAAAGATAGTTGTTTGTGGAAGGCCAGAATAAAAGGGCACAGCTAGCAATGGTGAAAGAGTAACCCTGGGTTCACACCCAAGCATTTTCCGCAACATTTTGCAGAAACGCACTACTGTCCACTTAACTTGATTTCCTATGGGACATGTTCACATCTCCGCATTTTTGGAAAGGGTCAGGGACTTTTTTGAATGGAAAAAGTTGTGGTTTAGGTTCTATAGATTTCAATGGAAATGCTACAAAAAAGCATGTAGTGTTTTTGATGTGTTTTGAGTATTAAATCTGCTTAGGAGCAAGAAAAAAGACAAATGCAAAATGCATCAAAACCGCAGGTGCAAAACGCAATGCAGAAATGCATCAAACGCACCTGCATAGGTGTGAACCTAGCTTTAGGGAGATCACAGGATGGAGAAGAGTGATGGCCAGAAGGCAGAATCCAGAGCTTGGAGAAGACCAGCCACCAAGAACAGCTCCAAAGCCCAGACACCACGGAAGCTCTGAAGATCAGCACAAAGCAGCTGCCCCCATAGGAGATTAAAACCTAATCTATTAACCATTCCTTTGCAAAAAGTCACCCCCTCCCCCAGTATATGCTGATACTCCAAACTACCCTCCAATTTGGTCCACTTACACTTCAGGTAATTTTCCAATATTACAGGTCATCCTCCAGTCTACCAATACTCCAACCACCCTCTGGCCCAGTCTGCAAATACTACAGATCGCTAGTTGTCAGGGTTATCGATAGGGGTGTGTACAGGGAGTACTTCCCATTTGGTCAGCAGGGGAGACCTACAGAGGTTGTCTCTGGATAGGTGGAGAAACAGGGGCGGACTGACCATTTAGCCACTCGGGCACTGCCTGAGGGCCCAGGGTCAGTAGGGGGCCCCATGAGATGCCCCTGGTACATTTCATTGGCTTTTTCATAGGCTTTTTTGGGGTGTGGGCGAGGACAAAGGGGCCCCATAATCCCCTATTGCCCAGGGGGCCCCATGAGTTGTCAGTCCGCCCCTGGTGGGGACTATCAGGTAGGCTTTCCAGTGCCCTATAATTTCCTATGACATCCCAGCCTAGCCCTGTCCTCTGTAGTCCAGCATTTTCTTTTCACATATGGTGGGATGAATACATCATGGCTCAATACAGCCACCTACATATGGGATCCATGGAGCTAGCCAATCATTTACCCCTTCTGCAGGAGAGACAAGCTGGGAAGTGTTATGCTGGATGATTCTTCTACTGATGAACACTTGTTACTATTGTCTAGACCTGAGCAAGCCCGTTCACACAGCAACAGACATTTAATCATTTCATTTATTGGATTTTTAGTTCTTTCCATTATTGAGGCTTAGCATTACATGTAGATGTTACCTAGAGTGGTCTGTAGGCAAATACAACCTGCCTGGGAACACCGACTCCTCCAGACACTCACCCATTAAGGCATTTGATCTTGCACAACTCCTCCCAAGAGCCAGCTCACTGCTTGCATCATAACTGAGGGTTCTTGAGAGGAGTACTGAGGCAGGATGCTTTGATGTCTTCAGGAAGCTATGTACAGCACCCTGCCAGACACCCTGCCCCCCCACAGTTATGATCTTCCTGCATTGCATAGAGAAGCACAGAGACCCAGTAATGATGTCGCTGTGCTTCTTTATGCAAAAAAGGTATGTAATGAACACAGGTTTTATTGCAAAATGTCATTAGCATGTGGGTGAGGAAGTAAAGAAGGAACCATGGAAGACAAATATACACAGATTAAAGTTTAGCTTTGTCTCTAAGCAGTGCATTGAATGATCTACAAGTTGCTTTGAATCCCTCCTTAAAAATAGAAGTGAACTTCCTGTTCCTTTAATATCATATCTGTGATTGTTGTATCTCATTGCTTCAAGTGGATCACGCCTGCGCAATGTGCATCGGCATGGCCTTCTATAGTCTCCACGAGATGAGCTAAGGACAGAGTGTTTTCACCCCATAACAGGAAGTGCATGAAGAAGGACCCTAATGTCAGGATCAGCAGGCAATGTGTTTTTGGAAACTTCAGGTTTAAAAAGATCAAATATGACTTTTGAAATTACTTTAACATGGTAAAGATTATATGAGATTTTGGTTTATAGGGTTTACATCTATGCCAAGTAATAAATGGTATCACCGTGTACTGTCTGTATATAACATCTGCTCTCATTTGCTGTTTACAGAAGTGTCCTCCTTTGATGAGATCAGCCCTTACAGATGGAAGTATTACTGTGAAAGATGCCATGCTAAGGCAGAGAGGTGAGTAATAGATGTCATTATGTAATGCAGTATATCTGTCTGATTAAATACCACTGCACAACCACAAGCATAAACGAGCCTTTACCCATTAGTGTAGAACTAAAGGCAAAACATTTTTTTCTATTTTGGATAAAGTAATGGAGGGTTATAATCCCATACCTTCCATAGGGCAGATTTCTAAAATTTCACTTCCTGTCCCGTGACCAAAATATGACGTCAGAGGAAATGCCTTCAATGTGTAGGAATGCTAGGGTGTCTCCAGAACTAGTGTCCCCATTGAAAGATTTCCCCTCAATTCCTATTCTGGTGTTAACCTTGGAATTTTCCTTAATTTTCATTCCTGAAGATAATGATAAACAGGACATATAGAGAGGGCGAATCTCTATCACAGAGGCACAGACAGCAATAAAAACCTGAGAGGGGTTCTAATCCCTCTCAATCCAAAACAGCTTTATTGCTTTTTTTGTATCAAGAATAATTATATTTATAGATGTGTTACCAAGAACACCTGAATGATGTGACAAAAGGTAATATAATAAGACTACAGTACCCTCTTGTGATATAAATATTCACATTCTTCCTAGTTGTGTGTGTATATATATATATATATATATATATATATATATATATATATATATATATATACAGTCAGGTCCATACATATTGGGACATCGACACAATTCTTGGCTCTATACACCACCACAATGGATTTGAAATGAAACAAACAAGATGTGCTTTAACCGCAGAATGTCAGGTTTAATTTGAGGGTATTTACATCCAAATCAGGTGAACGGTGTAGGAATTACAACAGTTTGCATATGTGCCTCCCACTTGTTAAGGGACCAAAAGTAATGGGACAGAATAATAATCATAAATCAAACTTTCACTTTTTAATACTTGTGGCAAATCCTTTGCAGTCAATTACAGCCTGAAGTCTGGAACGCATAGACATCACCAGACACTGGGTTTCATCCCTGGTGATGCTCTGCCAGGCCTCTACTGCAACTGTCTTCAGTTCCTGCTTGTTCTTGGGGCATTTTCCCTTCAGTTTTGTCTTCAGCAAGTGAAATGCATTCAGGTCAGGTGATTGACTTGGCCATTGCATAACATTCCACTTCTTTCCCTTAAAAAACTCTTTGGTTGCTTTTGCAGTATGCTTTGGGTCATTGTCCATCTGCACTGTGAAGCGGCATCCAATGAGTTCTGAAGCATTTGGCTAAATATGAGCAGATAATATTGCCCGAAACACTTCAGAATTCATCCTGCTGCTTTTTTCAGCAGTCACATCGTCAATAAATACAGGAGAACCAGTTCCATTGGCAGCCATACATGCCCACGCCATGACACTACCACCACCATGCTTCACTGATGAGATGGTATGCTTAGGATCATGAGCAGTTCCTTTCCTTCTCCATACTCTTCTCTTCCCATCACTCTGGTACAAGTTGATCTTGGTCTCATCTGTCCATAGGATGTTGTTCCAGAACTGTGAAGGCTGTTTTAGATGTCGTTTGGCAAACTCTAATCTGGCCTTCCTGTTTTTGAGGCTCATCAATGGTTTACATCTGTATTCACTCTGGTGAAGTCTTCTCTTGATTGGTGACTTTGACACACATACACCTACCTCCTGGAGAGTGTTCTTGATCTGGCCAACTGTTGTGAAGGGTGTTTTCTTCACCAGGGAAAGAATTCTTTGGTCATCCACCACAGTTGTTTTCCGTGGTCTTCCGGGTCTTTTGGTGTTGCTGAGCTCACCGATGCGTTCCTTCTTTTTAAGAATGTTCCAAACAGTTGTTTTTGCCACGCCTAATGTTTTTGCTATCTCTCTGATGGGTTTGTTTTGTTTTTTCAGCCTAATGATGGCTGGCTTCACTGATAGTGACAGCTCTTTGGATCTCATCTTGAGAGTTGACAGCAACAGATTCCAAATGCAAATAGCACACTTGAAATGAACTCTGGACCTTTTATCTGCTCATTGTAATTGGGATAATGAGGGAATAACACACACCTGGCCATGGAACAGCTGAGAAGCCAATTGTCCCATTACTTTTGTTCCCTTAACAAGTGGGAGGCACATATGCAAACTGTTGTAATTCCTACACCGTTCACCTGATTTGGATGTAAATACCCTCAAATTAAAGCTGACAGTCTGCAGTTAAAGCACATCTTGTTCGTTTCATTTCAAATCCATTGTGGTGGTGTATAGAGCCAAAAATGTTAGAATTGTGTTGATGTCCCAATATTTATGGACCTGACCGTATATATATACATACACTATATTGCCAAAAAATATTGGGACACCCCTCCAAGTCATTGGATTTAGGTGTTCCAATCACCTCCATGGCCGCAGGTCTATAAAATCAAGCACCTAGGCATGCAGACTGCTTCTACAAACATTTGTGAAAGAATGGGTTGCTCTCAGGAGCTCAGTGAATTCAAGTGTGGTACCGTGATAGGTTGCCACCTGTGCAATAAGTCCATCCATGAAATTTCCTTGCTACTAAATATTCCACAGTCAACTGTTAGTGGTATTACAACAAAGTGGAAGCAATTGGGAACAACAGAAACTCAGCCACAAAGTGGTAGGCCATGTAAAATGACAGAGTGGGGTCAGTGCATCCTAAAGCTCACA